AACATAAAGCCGGTACAAACTCTCCACGTCACTTCGCGTATTGGTTTCTTCAGTTTTTGATTCCTACTCTAAAAACCTTTCGGATCACCTGAGTATCGGCGTCCACGTCGCGTGATCCGGATAACCAACCGACGGATACTCATTTATATTGATTGTTAATAATTATACATAATTATGTTATCGTTGTTTGTAATATATTATAAGACTAAATAAACATATCAATATCAAAATTTTACTGTATATAGTACACTAAGTTTTAAAATTAATTTGAGTGGTTTTTAAGGATAAATACATTTTTCGAGTAATCTCTATACTACGTATTATTATCGTGACTTTAGTTATTTTTAATAATAAAATAACAATAACAATAAATGCGATTCATAAATCATTACTAATGGGTCTAGTATAACAAAACGTCTTAAAAAATAAACAATGGAAGTGCTTTGACGAATGTATTCTTTGGAATACTGAAATGTACATAATTCTGGTTATAGGTTCTACGCATTAGGCATAGTATGGCAGGATTAAATCACGTGTATACACGTCAGTATATTTTTCCTCGTCGAATCAGTACGTCCTTAATTATGTGTATATTATTTAATGCATTGGACAAACTGAAATATAATTATAAACAACTCTAAAAACTTTATATATGATTCGTGTATCATTGATATTTAAGATGAAAACTGTTTAATTTATTAAAAAGTAGACAATTGGTTTTGTATTTATCATAATTATTACTTAGTAGTTGTGATGTCACCATAATTATACATCTAATATTGGGATTTTCAAGCACCTTCCCCGATGCGGTTAGCTAATAACCAAGATAATGAACAAGCACTATCTACACTAGCGTCCAAACAAAGTAGACCATTGTGGTGGAATGGTCCAGTTGTGATTATTTGCAACTCTTATAAACGAATCAATAGCTTCCTAAGAGATTGTAAAAATAAATGATAAATAAACAATTTTACTTATTTTAAAAAAAAATTCTAGATATTACTCACTCCAGGTGTATATTCGGAGTTCCAATGACGATCAAGTCTCGCAGGCTTTGGATCCAACGAACTCAAAGCCATTTTAACCTGATATTAGATATAGTAAGTGCCAAATACATGTTATCTATATTATTAAGGTAATATGACATACTTGTAACAAGACAGCCTCCATCGTATATACAGAAGACCAGCCACGTTCTAGCGCATTTCCAAGTGTTAAAAGATCCATACATATGGATCCACCAGCAGTAACCTAATTTAATTTGTTAATATGATTCATAAAAGATCAAAATATTGACACAATAAAACAATTGATAATTACATGTCCACCACCACCATCCATGAAACGTAAAAGTCTTGGTCTGATTACGCGAATATATCTTGATAATTGATAAAAATAAGTCAGCGTTGAAAAATTAACTTTAAAAATTTATAAGCAAATAATAATATGAGAAACCCACGGTGGTACAAACGGATAGTCGGGTGCAAATCTTACTTCCAAATCGATTGTTTTTACTTTATTCCTGGCCATATCTTGTGCCAAGGGAAGAGTAGGATCAAAATCTTTAAGTT